AGAAGGAAAATGGTTGGACGAGAAGGAGGAGGAGACGGATGAGGAGAAGGAAGAAGAAGAGGGGGAGGAGGAACAGGAGGAGAAGGAGGAGGAGGAGAGGGAGGAGAGGCGTGGAGGAGGGGGAGGAGATGGGGAGGGAGGAGGAGGACAAACACGGGGGGGCCACAGATGGGAGGGGGAGGAGGAGTAGCAGGAGGAGGAGGCAGAGGAGGAGAAGGAGGACGACGAGGAGGAGGAGAAAGAGGAGGATGAGGAGGAGGAGGAGGAGGAGGAGGAGGAGTACAGGGGGCGCAAAGCGTGAGCGTCGGCAATAGACCCACGCTGCGGCACTTGCAGGAGGATGAGTAGTGGCGACGGGTCTTTAATGCTGCACCCCCCCACCCCCCAATAGCTTTCCTCGTCCTCCCCCTCCTCGCCCTTCCCCCTCGTCCTCCCCCTCCTCGTCCCTCCCCCTCGTCCTCCCGGGAGTCGATGCTCGCTCGACACTGTTTCGGTTCGATAATTCTCTGGGTGTTCGAAAATATTCATGGGATGTGGTCCTCAAGCACGATGAGAACATACACCTGTGTTGTGTATTCTGCACGGTACACTATATGTGATGCAATATATGTGCTGCAATATTTGTTGTGCACAGTATCTGATGCAATCGTTGTGGTGCATTTTGCGCGGTGCAACTCACTTTCCGAATTTGAAGTTGTCAGCTCCATTGTTCGCGCAATCGTCCCACCCACCCGCCCGCAACTTGGGTTGCAAAACCCATGCTGGAGCGATTAAGATGAGTGCTGAATGTTGGCTGGTGCATCTCTGCGGCCGCGCTAGCCCGCACATGCTCGCGCGCGCAGCGGCTAGCTAGGTTGGCGCGACCGACGCGAACGCGGTGGCGTTGGCCGGTCGGCACATCCCAGCGGGCTTTTCAGTGCTTGTCGGCAACCTCGGCGGACGCGGTATCATGGCAGCGTCGACAACGGTAGACACGATGATGATAGTAGCGATGCTGGTGACGATGTTGACCGATGACGGCGCGGCGAATGCGGGCGCCGATGCTGATCACGCCGACGACGATGACGGCATCTTCGCGTCGGTGATGCAGGTGTTGGGAAGTGTTCGACGTGCGTGCGCGACCGACGCGCGATAGTGGCCCGCATGGTATTATTTAGCATGGATCGTGACTCCCCCCCAGCACGCGCGCAAAGGGCGTGAGAATGATTGCAGCATGCGGCGCCAGCGGCCCCTGTGCCAGAATTCCATGAACATGTTGGACAACGCATTTTTTCGGCGCGGGCGCACGCTTTTTTTGAGAACTGGCGTTGCGATACTTGGGCCCTCGAGACCAAACCACGCCCCACGTCTCCTCACTCACTCCTCCTTATCCCCCTCCTCCCCGTCCCTGCCTCTGCGCTCCGCATGTCCAACCTGGGGTGTCCCACCGAAGGCCCCATTGGCAGGGTCCGCATGCAGTTCGACCTCCATTTTGGCGCACCCATCACACGTTTCGTGGCCCCATCGCGTGCTCCACCGGAATCCCCAGTGGCAGGGTCCGCATGCAGTTCCGCTTTCATTTCGGCGCACCCTTCACACTTCGTGCCCCCATAGGTGCTCCACCGAAGGCCCCAGCGGCCCCCATAGGTGTTCCACTTCCATTTCGGCGCACCCCTCACACGTTTCGTGGCCCCATGGTTTGCTCCACCGACAGCCCCAGCGGCAGGGTCCGTATGCAGTTCCGCTTCCATTTCAGCTCACCCTTCACACGTTTCGTGGCCCCATGGGGTGTTCCACCGAAGGCCCCAGCCGCAGGGTCCGCATGCAGTTCCAGCCGCATGTCGGCGCACCCCGCGCACGTTTCGCGGCCCCATGGGGTGCTCCACCGATGGCCCCAGTGGCAGTGTCCGCATGCAGTTCGACCTCCATTCCGGCGCACCCCTCACACGTTTCGTGGCCCCATCGCGTGCGGCCCCAGTGGCAGGGTCCACATGCAGATCGACCTCCATTTCGACGTACCCCTCACACGTTTCGTGGCCCCACAGCGTGCTCCACCGAAGGCCCCAGTGGCAGCGCCCGCGTGCCCCCGCCATTCCGCTTTGGCACACACCTCACACATTTCGCCTTCCCACTAGGAGCTCCACCGAAGACAATACTCATGACTGCGGCATTCACAGCTGCATATGGTTGGGTCCGTCGCCAGGTCAATCATATGTTTTTTGGCACTCGGTTTTGACATCGCTACGGAACCAACGGTTTTTGACGGATTTCGGCATGCGCGCGCGACGACGCGCGCGCGTGCACTTCGTCCCGTGTTTTGTAACGGATTCTTGCGACGGCACGCGCGCAAGGGAGCGAACGATTTCGACATGCGCGCGCGAAGCCCGTTCGGTGGCATTTTCTAATACTTGTGAAACACCTATGGTTTGTTTTTGATAATTCGCGAGAGCGCGCGCAATGTTTCTTGATATGAGAACCCTTGTTGTGAAACCTTGCGTTTTTGTTACGTATCTGTTTTTTGGACATTCGATCTTGCAGTCGTAAGGATTTGAAGGATTTCGGCATGCGCGCGCGACAACGCGCCCGTGCACATACCGTCAAAGTTATTTCAAAGAGGTTCTTGAACATGGAAGATGTTTGATAAATGAGTGGGCGGGCGCACCAGTTCTTTGCAGGGGATGGCTGGGGGGGCGTCGGTACTGGCTGGGCTGGGTTGGTATGAACTCATACTTAGGATGGACGATGACGCAAACTCATAAATAATTGCAATACGCGAGGCCGAGTTGATAACCCCAATAGATTATTGCGGCAGCACGCGCGCAAGGGCATTCGAATGATAACGACACGCGTGCGCGAGAAGATGTGTTGGAATCATTTCATGAATTTTTTATTACGTGGTTTTCTTAAGAATTCGCAAGAGCGCGGGCGCAAACTTTTTGCTGGGATAATTTGTTGTTACGAAAGCATTATTTATGTGAAACGCCGATACGCTCGATTTTGAAATCCGCACGAAACCCAAGGTTTCTGAAGGATTTCGGCATGCGCGTGCGCGACGACGCGCGCGTGTGCACTTGGTCCCTTGTTTAAAGGGTTCGTGAAAACTGGTGATTTCTGATAAACGAGAGTGCGCGCACAGTATTTTTGTTTTCCAGGGATTGCGGGGTGGGGGGTCGGTACCGGCTGGGTTGGGATGGTTCGACCTCACATTTCGGATGAATGGTGGGGCAGAACCACATGTAATTTGCGATACAAACAAGAGGGGCCGTTAATTCCATGGGAGGGCTTGATCCGAATACGTAGATTTTCAGATAGTAGGGCAAGATAGGTTGTGCATTATGTGGTGCAACATCGGCTGTGCATTCCATGTGGGTGCATGGTACGGGGTGTCATCCAACGTCGTGCAAGATCTGCTGTGCCGTCCGTCCATGTGGTGCCATCTGTGCGAGGCAGTTTCTGTGGCGCAGTCTGTGCGGCACTGTCTCTGCTGTGCAGTCTGGGGCGGCGGCGAGGCGGCGACGGCGGCCACATCGCCGCCAGACCGACAGTCAGGGGAGGAAAAACACACGCAGACCCAATGAATCCTCGATTCCTCAGAAAATGTGGGAAAATGTGGGAATTGGGGGGGGGAGACAGAAACCCAGAATATATATATATATATATATATATATATATATATATATGAAAATATGGGGAATATTTTTATTAGCGTGTATCTATTTGTGTGTCCTGGGGCCCCTTCAGACAGGCAGGCCCGCACGACGGGCGGCGACGAGGCGGCGACGGCACGGCGACGGCGAGGACAGCCGCGCCCGACAGAGCTGCAGGCGGCGGGCGGCGGGCGGCGAGGAGGCGGCGAGGGGGCGCCGACGGGCGGAGGGAGGAGGAGGAGGAGGAGGAGGAGGAGGAGGAGGGGAAGGAGGAGGAGGAGGAGGAGGAGGAGGAGGAGGAGGAGGAGGAGTGGTGAACATCTCTTTCCCTCTGTCTCTCTCTCTCTCTCTCTCGTCATACCCTCGGACTCACAACTTCTTGCCGTATCATTCTTCCTGATGGTCATGGCCGTTACCCGTTGCTTGTCCTTGCTCGAGTCTGTTTCAGGAAGAGGACACGCCCACATGACACTCATAGTGTGCTCGATGGTCACCTCTAGGCCGACTTGGAAATGTACGAAGTCGGTTGCACAGACGCAGACCGTGACCCGTGCCCCCTCCTTTGTCTCACATCATTTGTCGTTTGTGCTGTTCTTTCCCTCCCTCCCTCTCCCTGGACACGGGTCCCGCTCGCCCGCCGCAGCCTCGCCCAGGATGCTGGATGTCGTGTGTGACCACCTGGAGACGTGCCCCCCCCCGTCTTTTGCGCCTGCCCGCGGGTGCTCCCGTACAGTCTGGGCCCCGAAGAGGGAGCCCTTTCCGTTGGGGAGGGGCCCGGTGTTCCTTGATTGTTCTGCAGTTTGCCTTCTGTTTCCCGGAGGTTTTCCACTGGAGATCGAAGTTCAACTTATGGGAGAAAGGGGCCCCGATCCTTCTTGAGGGTTCCTTAGGTCAACGCCCTGACTGTATGCAGCAGCGCGCGAGCACTGGCTCGTCTGCGGGTGAGGCTGCGGGGGTCCAGGCGGGCAGAGATCCCGGCGCGGTGGCGCCGGGGCGGGGTCCGCTCTCTGCGGCAAAGGGTGGGGCCGACCTGCGGGCGGAGGCGGCGGAGAGGCGGCGTGGGATCGGCACGATGTGCACCACTTGCGCGGGAGAAGGCGGAGGATCAAATGAGGTAGGTGAGGATGTGGGGAGGCGGGGGAGGTGGACGTGGCTGATGTAGACGATCGTGATGATGATGTTGTTGATTCCTGGTGATGCTGGTGATGATGAACGTGATGATGATGATGATGCAGATGAGGCTGATGCAAGTGATGCTGTTGATGCTGATGATGAGGATGAGGACGAGGATGATGACGTTGCTTAGGAGGAGGAGGGAGAGTGTGACCAGGGGGATGGTGATGGTGCTGCTGATGATGATGCCTGTGATGATGATGATGATGCTGCTGCTGCTGCTGATGCAAATGCTGATGCTGATGCTGATGTTGATGTTGTTTATGATGATGATGATGGTGATGATGATGAGTCTGATGACGATGATTATGATGGCGATGATGATAACGTTGATGCTGATGATGATGATGTTGATGCTGATGCTGCTGCTGATGATAAGGATTATGATGCTGAAGATGATGGTGATGGTGGTCCAGATGGCGGCGGCGGCGGCGACGACGACGACGATGATGCTGGCGATGCTGCTGACGATGACGATGATGACGATTACGATGATGATGATGCCGATGATGATACTCATGATGGTGATGACGACGATGATGCCGATGCTGATGCTGATTATGATGATAATCATGATGCAGCTGATGTTGCTGCGGATGATGATGCTGCTGATGCTGAATGACGATGATCATGATTCTTATTATAGATAGTGATGATGTTGATGATGATGCTATGCTGATTATGATGCTGATGGCGATGATGCTGTTGATGATGATGATGGTGATGATGATGCTGATGCTGATTAAGTGGATGATGATGATGATGATGATGATGATCATGATGTTGATGCTGATGATGATGATGATGATGATGATGATGATGATGGTGATGATGATGGTGATGATGATGATGATGCTGATGCTGATGATTATGACGATGATGATGCTGATGATGATTCTGATGATGCTGCTGATGATGAGGAGGAGGAGGACGAGGAGGAGGAGGAGGAGAAGGAAGTGGGGGTGGATGAGGAAGAGGCAGGAGCAGGTGGAGGAGGAGGAGGAGGAGGAGGAAGTGGCGGAAGAGAAGGAGGAGGAGGAGGAGGAGGGGGTTGCCACGGCTGGGCTCTGACGGTGGCGGAAGGCCATGTGCAACCTGACTGCACCTCCGGGCCCCCCCTCGGAGCGAGAAGCTGGCCGCGTTGCGCGGTGGGGGCCGGAGAGCTGTCACTCCTCAGGGCACTGCACCCTCCAATTGTTTTCCGTGCTCCCCCTCGTCTTGCACCCTCTCGCCCTGCACCCCTCCTGCCCAAGGAGAGTGGCTGCCGCCTCGAGAGCGGCGCGGGCACGCTAGGGCGGGTCACGACGGAGGGGTGTGTGGTCGGCAGGGTCAATTCCGATCCGATCGATCCGATTCGACGCTGGTTCTGGCCCGCCCGACCCGATTTGATTCTGATGTCCCGACGGTCCGACGCGGCCCGATGCTAGTTACCAGCCTGGAACATATCCCTATCCCTATGCTGGGCACCTCCTCATCACGATGCCAATCTTAGGGATTCACTTATTTTTTGAGGGCGAATCCCTAAGATTGTTGTCGCCTTTTGGCGTGTCAATCTTAGGGATAGGGATACGTGCGAGGCTGGTACGCTAGAGTCGTGTTGTTGCGCATCTTGGCGCAGCCAGTCCGACGTAATTTCGATCCGATCCGATCGACGGGGGAGGCGGAGGACGATTGGGCGGCGGGGGAGGGCGGGGGCAGGATAAGAACATGCTGACGGCACAGCAGCTTGCCAGTCGAGCGGGGTGTGTGCGCGACGCGGTCCAGCACCCGGGAGGGCCAGCAGCTGTAGACATGCTCCTCCGCTTATTCCATCACCATCATCATCACCATCGCAATTATCATCATCATCGTCATCATCATCATGAGCATCATGAGCATCATCATCATCAACATCATCATCAGCATCATGAGCATCATGAGCATCATGAACGTCACCACCATCACCAGCATCAGCATCATCATCAGCAGCATCAGCATCACAATTATCATCAGCAACGTCATCACCACCTGCATCAGCATCAGCATCATCATGATCACCATCATCAACGTCATCACCACCACCACCACCTCCATCATCATCATCATCATCATCATCATCATCATCATCATCATCATCATCATCATCATCATCATCATCATCATCATCATCATCATCATCATCATCATCATAAGTATCCTCATCATCATCATGATTATCATCATCGTCATCCTCTTCTCCTCTCTCTCCTCTGTTTCTTTGCGCGGGTGGGGAGCTTCACCAACTTTGGGGTCCTGGGGAGCTCCCTGAGCTGTGCGAGTGCGAGCGGCCCCCCCCAGCTAACGCCAGCACATCGGGTTGCCACATATCGCCCGACCGGTGCTCCAGTCTGCTTGGCAGGACTGCAGAGTCCGCTGGCGGGCTGCCACGGCGTAGCAGCAAGCATGCTGTTGTTATGAGCGGGCGAGATTTCTACCACGAGTGGCCCAGGCTTCTCACACAAAAAAGTGCCCCCACGCAGCTCGATTCGATTGAGAGTCTTCCCTCGGCGCCGCGGTGCGCCAGGTCCGATGCGCCACTGGGCCCTCCTTCGCGGGGCTCTGCAGTGATCAGGTGGGGAAGAGCGCCGGCACAGTTCACTTCGATGCTCGTTTCGGGGACCTTCCTGGAGCCCACCTAACGGATCTGTTCGACCCCAGTTCGACTCAAGTTCGACTCAAGTTCGACTCAAGTTCGACTGAGGTTCGACTCAGGTTCGACTCAGGTTCGACTCAGGTCGACCCAAATCGACTGACATTCGACGCAGCTTCGACGCACGAGTGGAGCGAGTGGCTCCAGGAAGGTCCCCAGAACGAGCATCCAAGTTCACCGTCGACGCCATGGAAGACATGGGAACATGTGGGAAGTGCGGGGGCAGACGAAAACCAACCACATATGAGTGTGCCCACCCGCTCGTCTTGGGCGCGCTGCGCGCCGCACCGGCGGACCCGGGCGTGCCGGATGAGGCGCCAGAGGGAAGAGGAGGAAGAGGGCGAGGAGGAGGAGGAGGAGCAGGAGGAGCCGGAGGAGGAGGAGGAAGAGGAGGAGGAGGAGGAGGAGATG